TATTTCACCAAGGACACAATACCTTCCTTATCTTTTCTCCACTGAGGTCTTCCAACTTGCTGGGATTGACATCCACATGCTCTCCTGTTGACAGAGGTTGAGCTCTGCTCCTGAAGGCCAGACCTTGCGTGCACACTGACCCCAACCCTTCCCTCCTGCTCTTGGCTACCCCTGCCCTTTTCTGCATCATCCCTGTTAGCACACAGGCCTGCTGTTTCAAGTCTCCTCAAATCCTCTTTTGCCCTCGTAAGGCTCTCCTGCTATTCCCCCCTTCGTTAAAAAATATCTTAAAAAAGAATTGCCTTTTCTTGCTGTCCCCACTATCATCTGTCCTCTCTTGAACCTACTCCAATCAGGCTGCAGGGTCACCAGTGGCTTCCATGTTGCTAAAATCTGATGGCCCCATCCAGCAATGCCTCTTCTGGGTAAATACCCCAAAGAATTGAAAGCAGTGACTAGAAGTGGTATGTGTGCACCCCATGTTCATGGCATTACTCACCATGTCTAAAAGGTGGGAAAAACCCAAGTGTCCATCGATGGATGAATAAATAAACACAATTTGGTATATCCAGACAATGGAAATTTATTCAGGCTTAACAAGGAAGGAAATTCTAACACATGCTAGAACATGGATGACCCTTGAAGACATGGTGTGAGCCAGATGCAGATGGACAAATATGGTATCATTCCACTTATATGAGGTCCCTTTGGTGGTTCCCAGGGCTGGGGGACGGGAAACGGGGAGTTCTCGTGTTTAATGGTTACAGAGTTTCAGTTTGGCAACAGGAATAAGTTCTGGAGATGGATGGTGGTGATGGTTGCGAAACAGTGTGAATATATTTAATGCCGCTGAATTGTACACTTAAAAATTGTTAAAATAGGGACGCCTGGGTGGCTTAGTCGGTTAAGCAACTAACTCTTGGTATCAACTCAGGTCATGATCTTAAGCTCTTGAGAGTGAGCCCTGTGTCGGGTCGAGCTTTGTGCTTAGCGCAGAGTCGGCTTGGGACTTTCTCTCCCTCTCCCTCTGCCCTTACCCCCTGCTCTTTCTCTCAAATAAATAAATAAATCTTTTTTAAAAAGGTTAAAATACGGGCAGCCCCGGTGGCACAGTGGTTTAGTGCCTCCTGCAGCCCGGGGTGTGATCCTGGAGACCTGGGATCGAGTCCCACGTCAGGCTCCCTGCATGGAGCCTGCTTCTCCCTCTGCCTGTGTCTCTGCCTCTCTCTTTCTGTGTCTCTATGAATAAATAAAATAAAAAAATATTTAAAAGAAGTTAAAATACTAAATTTTGTTATATATATTTTAGCACAATGAAAAAATCCAGTGGTCCATTCTTATTCTTTACTTACATGGACTCTTAGTGTTTGACACAGTGGATCATTGGAATCTCTTTTATTGTTTTTAAATAATAGTTTTTTTGAGATATGATTTACTACATACCATAGAATTCGAACAATTAAGGTATACAATTCGGTGGTCTCGAGTATATATACACAAGGTTGTGTAATTAGCACAATTGACTTTAGGACATTTTTGGCACTTCCCTGCCCCCACCCCCCCGAAGCTCTGTACCATCAGCAGTCACTCACTGTTCCCCCAACTGACTCCTGCCCCAACCCGTGCCCATCACCAGTCCACCTGCTGTGTTAGACATGCCTACTCTGCACATTTCACTTAAATGGAGTCCTTTAATAGATGGTCTTTTTGACTGGCTTCTCGCACTTAGCATGTCTTCAAGGTTCTTACATGTTGCAGCATGCGTGAGTCCTTCACTTTTATTGCCAAATAATATCCCATTGTATGGATATGCTATGTTTTATTTGCCCATTCATCTGTTAGTAGACACATGGGTGTCTCCAGTTGTCGGCTGCTATGAATAATGCTGCTGAGAACGTTCACGTACATGCTTTTGGGTGGACACATGTTTTCATTTCTTATATTCTTACCTTAAAAGGCATTTTCACTTAACCTCTGGCGCACCTGTCTGAAGATCAGCTCCTGGGATTTCATTTATTTATTTATTTATAAATATCTATGTGAGAGACAGAGCACAAGTAGGAGGGGGAGAGGGAGAGAGAAACTTCAGCAGACTCTGCACTGAGCACTGAGCTAATGTGTGGCTCGATCCCATGACCCCGATATCATGACCAGAGCCAAAACCAAGAGTGGGACTCTCAAGCGCCACCAGGTGCCCCTCCACTCCTGGTATCTTAAATCACTTGCTCTTCTGAAAGGAAGACTTGGTCTGGGCTTTTAAGCTCTGGAAAAGATCTCCTTGTTCTTTTCAACTTCAGTGTCAGAATTTTGGCTTAAAAATACATTACTTTTGTATTTTCCTGCTAAAGGAATATCACTTTAACTTACCTACTCGAGAAATGAGTTTTAAGATCTCAGCATGTGCTTTTCTGAGAGAAGAGTAGGCAGACTGCTTGGGCATTTCTTTGCCTCTTAGTTCATGGTACCATAAAGCAAATGGCCAAATTCCATTTTAAATGTCCCGATAAGACAAACTGAAGGCTTTAAAATCCTTATCAGAGCTTTTAAAGATGTGAAAGGTTATACAGGTGAACTTCAAAATACTTTTGAATTTTGGACAATGTTGAACGATCCCATATGAATATACTGAAAGTTTTCTATGGAAAGCTCTCTTGCAATCTTTTTTTTTTTTTTAAAGGATCGTATTCCCTCACTTGACTGTTTGATAAGTGAATTTTACATTGTTTTGTAGTGGGTTTTTTTACTTGCTTTGGTATCTTTTGCTTAAGGTGTGGTATTTTAAGCGGCTCTTTGTATTTTCCATTCTTTAATGGATTGTATCATGAAGCTATATGTTTAAGTAAAGTTCACGTTTTGAAGAATATAGTGGGTTGAATGATGTCCTGCGATAGGATATGCCTGTGTCCCAACCTCCAGAACCTCTGGAGGTGACCTTATTTGGAAAAGATGTTTGCAGGTGTCATTAAGCTAAGGGTCTCAAGATACGATCATCTTGGATTATCCAGATGGTTCCTAAATCCAGTGATGAGGATTCTTCTTAGAGGCGAAAGGGGAGAAGGAGGGGCAGGCCACATGCAGATTGAGGCAAAGATTTGAATTGGAATTGGAAGCCATAAGCAAAGGAGGCCTGGAGCCACCCGAATCTGAAGAAGGAAAGGAGAGATTCTTTCCTAGAGCCTAGGGAGGGGTCATGGCTCTGCCAACACCTTGATTTCGGGCTTCCAGCTTCCAGAACTGGGAGAGAATGAATTCCTCTTGTTTTAAGCCACTAAATTTGGTAATTTTTCATGGACAGCTCTGGGAACCCAGGTGTCCCAATCCCCTGATTTTTAGATAAGGTAACTAATTCATAGTAAGAAACAAAACAAAACCTCAAAACAGCTGCCTCAGAAAAAGTGTGTGTGTGTGTGTGTCTGTGTGTGATTTGTGATATAACAAAAGCATGTCTGTAGGCCCCACTGGCCCATAGATTTCATTTTGCAAAGGGGACCCTCTGTCTTAGGATGTAGGTGGTGGGTAGGATCGTTGCATCTATTTCTTGCATCATTTGGAGCTCTTTAAAAATCTCATCTCAGGGCACCTGGGTGGCTTAGTTAAGCATCTGCCTTTGGCTCAGGTCATGATCCCAGGGTCCCACGTTGGGCTCCCTGTTCAGTGGGGAGCCTGCCTCTTTCTCTCTTTCCTCTGCTCCAACCCCCTACTCGTTCTCTCTCTCTCTCTCAAATAAGTAAAATCTTTAAAAAAAAAAAAATCTCCATCTCCAAAATGCTAAGAAATGGAAGTCTCAGCAAAGGTCTTACAGGCCGCTAATGCTTTCCCGAGTCTGCCTTGCCCAACTTAACAATACAGAGACATTTTAACGTGTTAAATATTTTATTCACATTGTTTATAAACTATATCCACCTGGAAAACACAGGAATCCAAAAATAGATTATTTTACAGTAATTCACATTTTTTAGAACAAGTTGCATTTGAAGTGAAGCTCTAAGCACGGAGGTCCTCGTCCTGTATGGTGTTCCAGTGCCTGGTCGCATGAAGCAGGAAGCTCTGCTGGAGCAGTAGTCCTCGGGGCCAGCCACCTGGTCGTGGGTCACCGATGGCTTCCCTACCCCACCCGAGAGCCACGAGAAGACGTCAGTGCAGACCTTAACCTGTCATCATTTACTGCTATCAATTCACTGTCCGTCCTTTTGCCAAGGAGATGTGTCTTAGAGCTTTTGGGTACATGCCAGGAAGACAAAGCCAAGGAGCCTTATAATGGAATCGGCCGTTACGGAGGTGTCAGGACAGGGCCAGCTCCAAGGTTTAACGTCATGGCCACAGAATCAACAAGCTACAACCTTGTGGTGCTGACACCTTGGATCAGAAACAGCAGTGATTTGGAAATGGGGCGCAAGTCCCCGCTGACTAACTCTGCTGCCCCCCACCACCGGGAGAAGAGGGGGAGTTAACTCAGCAGGAATTAATTATGTGCCTAACTTTCAGTGTGTTGCTCTAGGATGGTCGTGGGAGTTTTGCTGAGTGGCCCACACGACGCTCTGGTTCAGAAACGTACCATTCACCTCTGCTAAATCCAATCCTGTCCCAGCTCGATGCAGCCGCTCTCTTATTTAATTGAGGCACTTTTTCTATGGCATTTGACTCGCACGATTTTAAAGCTACAGTATGTTTGTCTTACCCACCTGTCACCCCCTCCTACTCTACTAGCTACCAAATAGTCACTTTTCCTTTGCGAGCTGCCGCAGTTAAATAAAGGCTCAAGCTTCTGAGCCTTTCCAATGGGAGCACTGGGTGAGTCTCTAAGGGCAGAGGTGGATCCTTTTGCTCAGAGTAGCACCAATAGCTCGGGCTATTGTGTTTCTGCAACTCTTGATTAGGGAAAGGATGTTTGATCGGGCTCATTCCTTCCTTCCCTTGGGTAAAAAAAAAAAAAAAAAAGGAATTTCTTAAAGGGTTGCTGTCACCGTGGGAACAGACAACAACAACTCTGAATCCACATGGAAGCTGAGAGGTGGAGAAACTTTATCAGCACACTTGCAGGTTAACAACAACAGCAAAAAAAGACTTTCAAATGTCTATTGCAATCCGATGGCGTAGAAGACAAGACGTCTGTAAGAGGAGCTCGATGCTGGAGCAGATCATAGCTTGTCTTCCTGCCACCCGTGTGCATTTTTTCCAAATTTGTACACTAGCCTTCGGTCGACCCGCTCCAAAATTCCTGTTTTGTAGTAGTACCTGGGAAAGACAGCAGAAGGAGAAATGTGGGGAGGCCTGCACCCCAGGAAGATAACAGAACATAAACATGTTCCTCGTCCGCCCAGGTGACCCGGCTGGTCTTTGGTCGGTCACCCTGGTATTTTCACACCCTGTGATCACCTTACACTGAAACCTTTCCCAGACGTCTTGAGGACTAAACCTTGCCACACTCAGATCAGAACCGGGTTCTGCGTGTGTATGTGTGGGGCGGCCTGCGTTTAGAGCCCCCCTCCCCGGGGGCCACTGCCAAGGATGGGGAGGACGGCAGGCCGATTACTGACCCTAATCCCACTTGTAACTAAGCACCGAGGTGCTGTCCCATGACCTTGCTACCACCAAGGAAAACGCTGCAAAACCCATCCAGTTCTCTGTGGCTGGCCGTTTTACAGAACTCTGCCCGAAGGCTCGGGGCATTTTGTGCTGTGAACTCACCTCAGGGCTCTGCTCAACTTTTCATACGTCATTCTGTCATTTTTCTTCCTTTGTCCCCACATCTTTGCCAGGGCTTCTGATTTTACCACCCGAAAAATACCTTGTTCCCTATCTTCCCATTCCAGGATGCCACAGTTTTCTTCGGGAGATAGAAGCAGGTCTCGCACAAATTCCCATAGATGAGAACTTTGGAGGCCTTTGGAAAAGGCAAAAAAAAAAAAAAAAAGAAGTTACTTAAAAAAAAAATTCTAAGAGCTATACAACTTCTCATTAACTCGGGACACCTGGGGGCCTTAGCAGTTGAGTGCCTGCCTGCCTTTACCCCAGGTCGTGATCCTTGGGTCCTGGGATCGAGTCCCGCATCGGGTTCCCTGCATGGAGCCTGCTTCTCCCTCTGCCTGTGTCTCTGCCTCTCTCTCTCTGTCTCTCATGAATAAATAAATAGAATCTTTAACCCCCCCCCCAAAAAAAACCTAATTAACTCATGAGAATTGCTGCTTTATTTTTTTATTTTATTTTTATTTTTTTTAAAGATTTTATTTATTTATTCATGATAGTCACAGAGAGAGAGAGAGAGAGAGGCAGAGACACAGGCAGAGGGAGAAGCAGGCTCCATGCAGGGAGCCCAACATGGGATTCGATCCCAGGTCTCCAGGATCGTGCCCTGGGCCAAAGGCAGGAGCTAAACCGCTGAGCCACCCAGGGATCCCTGCTGCTTTTTTAATGGGGTTATTTTCCCTATTATGACTGAGTGTTCTCCTTGGACCCTCACTGAGCTGTGAAATGTCTGCCTTCCATTAAAGCAATCATAAAATGCACACATAGAGACACCGAATTTACACTGACTTAGGAACACCATGGCTCACAGACTGTCCTTGCTTGGTGGAACAATGGACTAATTCTTAGGAATGAATAAAATGACGGGATGCTTGGGTGGCTCAGCGGTTGAGCGTCTGCCTTCGGCTCAGGGTGTGATCCCCGGGTCCTGGGATTGAGTCCTGCATCAGGCTCCCTTCTGGGAACCTGCTTCTCCCTCTGCCTGTGTCTCTGCCTCTCTCTCTGTGTCTCTCATGAATAAATAAGTAAAATCTTTTTTTTAAAAAAAGAATTAACAAAATGACAGTCAAATGACCTTTCCGACAGGTTGCACTAAAATCCCATATCCATACCTGTCTGGGTGGACCAAGCCTACAGTTATGCTTTTCAGTAAAGCTGGTGGTAATTGTCTTGTTCCACTAAGAGTTGTGGTAAAGGCTGGTTCTAGGGTCCAACTCCCTGGGCTTGGGTGCGGAATTCACCTCTTCCTAGCTCTGTAATCGTAATCTCTCCAGGAATCTGTAAAATGCGATCAGAAGAGTACCTACCTCACAGCAGAAGTTGGAGGATTATAATGTAATCCGTATCCAGTGACTGGCACCAAGCCTGGCAGACTTGATTCGGCCCTGGGTACGTCTGTTTTAGGGCCAGGAAAGGCTAAGAGAACTGCCAACACATGGTGATTTCCCTCCTCTGGTCCCTGAGCACTTTTTTTTTTTTTTTTGTATATTTTTTTATTGGAGTTCGATTTGCCAGAATATAGTATAACACCCAGTGCTCATCCGGTCAAGCTGGTCCCTGAGTACTCAGGAGAGAAGGACCCTCAGTAGACCAGGAGAAATAAACCCTTCACTCAGAGATTCACCACAGTTAGAAAACTTCCTTGCTTCCTCGCTTGCATTCTTAGGACACCACGTCCACGTGAAAAGAAGTGGAATTTTGATTACAAATCTGCTGTCTTCTTTGGGAAACAACCAGTGCCACTCAAGCCCTCAGTGTCCAAGCTTATCAGAGTACCTCGTCTCCTGAATGGCCTTAGGGAATGGGCAATGAGAAATGGCATCTCTACACTTACTCGTTCGACTCTGACTGTGACAGTCTTGGCTTTTGATGCCACTTGTTTTCAAGCAATTAGAATCAGCATCTGCAATAGAATGATGGATAGCGGTGGGAATGGGTCGGACCTCAAATCACCCCAGGGTGGTGAGCACCTGTGACCTGGACACCCCTGCGGTCAAAGACCCCACCCCGTGAGGTGCTCTGGGGGGTAAATTAGCGGGGGGAAGGTGTTTGCCTTCAGAGGGCATTTGTATCCAAGCACCAGGGACCTGCTGGGTGCCAGGTGCTGGGCTCCATGCAGGGAATAAGAGAGAACAAGACCTCCCCGCTCCCTGTGCATGCGGAGTTTCAGGACTCCTGGGCGAGGTGCAATACGTGTCACACAAACAAGTTAGCCCTCGTGGGTGTTATGAAGGAAGCAAGATAGAGAATGAAGGGTGGGGCGGAGTGCCCACTTGAGATGGAGAGGCCGGCGGTGGGTGGGGAGGCCTGTGTGCAAGAGGCATCTACGCGGATTCGAGGAGGTGAGAGTCTCCCCGAGGGAAGCAGCACGCGTGACGCCCAGCAGAGAGAGAGAGAGCCAGTGAGGCAGGCTCGCGGTGTGCCCAGGGAGGGGAAGCCGGCTGTTGGCACAGCCCACGGGGCCGTCCTGGCAGGCCCATCGTACGGACTTGGGGTTTTATTCAAAGAGTAAAGTGAAAACAAAAACAAAAACAAACAAACAAACAAACAAAAAAAAACAAAGAGTAAAGTGAAGACTTTGCAGTTTGACAAGATCCACATTTTAAGAACACTCCTCTGACAAGTGTGTGGAGAACGGCCTAGAAGGGGCACAAGGAAAAGCCAAGAGACCAGAGCTTAGCGAGTAACAGAAAGCAAGGCGCTAACTCAGTACGAGCCCCGTTAGGACTCGTGCTATAAGTAACAGTCTGAGACCCGTGCATTGTTTCAAAGGAGTATATGATTTTTAAAAAGAAAGAAAGAAAAAAGGCGATGCCAGATCTCACGCACCCCTGCTGCTCCCCTGGCTGCCTGTGCTCCAGCCATACCATACCGGCCTCCCCGCTCTTTCTGAAACTCCCCTGCACCTTCCACCCCAGGGCCTTTGCACTTGCCCTCCCTTTGCCATGAGTGCTCTTTCCTTGGCCATCCACGGGTTCGGGCCCTCCTCTCAGTCTTTGCTCAAAGCCACCTTCTCAGTAGGATCACACTCGCTCACTCCTGCCCAGGATTCTAGATCCACTTCTCTTATTTATTTATTTTTTTGCCACAATATTAATCACCATTGAACATAGCGTATTGTGTATTTATTTACTTAGTTCCCTCTCTGTTCCCATCAGAAGTCAGGGATTTATGTTTCCAGATGTATCCCCCCAACACCTAGCCCAGGGTCTGGCATACAGCAGGTGCTCAGGAAGTAGTATTGAGCAGCCACTGTACCAGATGCTGTTGGACACTAACCATGCTTACTGTACAGTCCAGGAGGTACACTACGCCTTAACCCCCAGAGGGAAGAACAAGTGCGCTGTCAAGGCAGGGAATGGCGTCCCGTGTACCGCACTGCTGCCCAGGGCAATCCGTCTCGGTGCCCCTGGCCCCTGGCACGCCCTGGTCTACCAGCCTGCAGCGGTTCCCTGTTGTCTCCAGGATGAAGGTCACCAAGTTTGTCAGGCCTTGCACAGACTGACCTCCACTCAGCAGTCTAGCCTTTTCTTTTTTTTGTTTTTGTTTTTTTAGTTTTTTTAAAAATAAATTTATTTTTTATTGGTGTTCAATTTGCCAACATACAGAATAACACCCAGTGCTCATCCCATCAAGTGCCCCCCTCGGTGCCCGTCACCCAGTTACCCCCACCCCCCGCCCATCTCCCTTTCTACCACCCCTAGTTTGTTTCCCCGAGTTAGGAGTCTCTCATGTTCTGTCTCCCTCCCTGATATTTCCCACTCATTTTTTTCTCCTTTCCCTTTATTCCCTTTCACTATTTCTTATATTCCCCGTATTAGACCATATGATGTTTGTCCTTCTCCGACTGACTTATTTCACTTAGCATAATACCCTCCAGTTCCATCCACATCAAAGCAAATGGTGGGTATTCGTCATTTCTAATGGCTGAGGAATATTCCATTGTATACATAAACCACATCTTTTTTATCCATCATCTTTCGATGGACACCGAGGCTCCTTCCACAGTTTGGCTATTGTGGACATTAGTCTAGCCTTTTCTGTTGCTGTTCCCCAACGTCTTCCCTTTTCTTGGGTCAGAGAGTCCCAGTGCTGCTTAGCTTTGTCCTGCCGCGGGGCCTTTGCATAGCTCCCTGCTCCCCACTTCCACGCAGCTGACCCACACTCTCCAGCCCTCTTCGGAAAGTCTTCTCTGAACTTAACCCTCTGGGTTAGATACCCTCCCTGTTGCACAGCACCCGTGTGCTCCCGAGCACCTTGGCACCAGTCCATCCACACGGTAAGGACTGATCTGGTCTCTTTTCTGCTCTGCTATGGAGCACTTACTAACTGCCAAGTGCTGCTAATGTGCTTCACAGGCCCTGAATCACTGTCCGATTCAATCCCTGCAACCACCCTGTGTGGTCCTAGTGCTATTTCCATTTTGTAGAGAGAGAAGTCGAAGCCCAGACCGTTTAAGAAGAGCTTCACCCAGAGTGGTGGAGGCGAGGCTTGAACCCGGAGCGGGCCCGTTCCGAAGCTACCGTTCAGAACGACTGCTTCATCTTGTCTTTCATAGTGGGTGTTCCAAAAACACCACGTGAATAATTATTGGCTGAGTGTGTCGAGTGTTGGGTATTGCCAGGCCCTCAGTCTCATGCACTGTTGTGGTGAACGTCTATTCCCTTCTCCGTTTTACACAGAAGTATGTGGAGGCACCGCGAGGTCGGGATGCTCACTGCAGGCCACTCGCTCATTCATTCATTCATGAGCCCTGAGCCACGTGTGCCCACTGTCCGACTCCCCAGAGGCACTGGGCCATGTCTCTCCTCCTGGGGACTCACATCCAAGTGGATAAGAACATCTAACAAGGGCCACCCGGGGGGCTCGGTGGTTGAGCATCTGCCTTTGGCCCAGGGTGTGATCCTGGGGACCCGGGATCGAGTCCCGCATCGGGCTCTCTGCATGGAGCCTGCTTCTCCCTCTGCCTGTGTCTCTGCTTCTCTCTCTCTCACTCTATGTCTATCATGAATAAATAAATAAAATCTTTAAAAAAAAAGAGAGAGAGAACATCTAATGAACAAGCAAATGTGGGTGATCTCGGTGCATGATAAACGCTGAGAATATTGAAGCAGCTGGGGCGGGGAAACAGTGGCGAAGCGGGGTGGGGAGCAGGAGTGCCCTGTTCAGTTAGAGCCAGCAGAGGGGACTCCCTGACACGGGGCCACCGGTGGGCAAGCAGTGAGCCCCGGGGGGTCTGGGGGGCTCGGTTTGGGTCCCGGGCCTGGCCAGCATGGAACCCAGCTCCGGGCAGGCCGACCTCAGGGCCTCGGCTCTAGCAGCGACAGCGCCTGTCGTCTGGAAAGAACGATGAGATGAACACCACCTTCAGCCTGCGGGGTCCCCCCACCCCCGGCCCCAGCCGAGCTAGCCTGGCACCGCGCTGCTGCCAAAAGGTGGGCCCTGCCCCGGGCGGTAGGTGCGGACCCCAGAGGGCCACGCGGGCCGCAGAGGGGACCTGGCGTTGCTTGAAGCCGATCTTCCAAGAAGGGAGAAAGCAAGTGAGGGGGAGACACACCAGGTGGATCATGAACCCGTGAGCAGCCGGCAAGCTTGCAAGAAGGCGGAGGAAGGAGGCGACCCTTGGAGCCCCCGCGACACCCCAGGCGCTGTGGATCAGGGGTCTCGGCTCGGGGTCCTGCCCAAGGCATCCCTGTGATCCCTGTGGCCTCTGCCCCCAGGTCTCCGCCGTGACTTTGGTGCTGCCCGTGGTCCTGGGTGGGGGTGGCCCTTGCTCGGCAGGGGGTGGCCGCAGGGTGGCCGTGGTGCCTTGGGGGGCCCAGGGACAGCCCCCCTGGACTCAGAACTGTCTTCCCCTGGGATGTGGCCCCGCGGTCGGGCTGTGCCCAAGGCTCCCCGCTGCGTGTAGCTGTGGGGTTCCCTCGGGACCAGATGCTGCTGAGGTGTGCCAGTCGTCGGCCACGGCCAGAGGGTCCCAAGGCCACTCGTCGCCCCCAGGGCCGGGTGCTGCCACGGGCCTCGCTCCCCGCGGGAGGAAGGTGCAGGACGGGAGGCGACCCAGGCCTGCAGGCTTCGTGGCCTGGCATTTCTGCAGGGGGGGGCGGCGGGGGGGCGGGAAGGGTTGGCCGCAGCGTGGCCAGCGAGTGTCGCGGGGCACCCGACAGCTTCAGAGCTGGCTGGGCCTGCGCCCCTTCAGCAGGTCCTCATCTCATCTCGTTCTCTGGCTCGTTCTCCAAGCCCGTCATCTCGTTCTCCAACTCACTGCGGAGCTGGACCCAGACCTGGCCGAGCCGTGGGCCTTGGGGCCCAGCTGAGGGGGCAGCAGAATGAAGAGGAGGGCCCGGGGTCCGTGCACCTGCGTGTGTGTGTGTGCGTGGGCTCGTGCACGCAGGTGTGCGGTGCATATGGCCCAATGCCTATGAGCACAGACGTCGTGCTGGGGATCCCACCCTTGTGCTTCCTTGCACGTTATTGCTCTTCTGGTTTCCTCAGATGCAAATGGGGGCAACAATACTACCGATTGGAGTTACGATGAGGCTTAAATGGGTTAAAGTACGGAAAACGCTCCGCCTGGCACCGCGCTGGGCAGTGTTGCACGGGCGGGCAGGACAGATGTTAATCTGCACTGCAGGCTGATGGCAGTGTTGCCTGTCACCCCAGGATGCCTCGCTGGCCGGGCTTTGGCCTCCAGCTGGCACATCTCACTCCCGCGTTGGGGTGTGTCTGAGATCGCGCCGTGTCACCCGGGCCATAGGCATCGTGATCAGATGCCCTGGATTTCTAGAACGGGCTCATTGATTGGATAGTCAGTCCGTTGTCCTCATGGCTATTAAACTACATGCTAGGGTTTCTGTTTCGGGAGAGCTGGGGGAGAGCCGGGGGGGCAGCGGCCGCACGGGCCCAGCGGGAAGGCCATGGGTTCCTGGCTGTGGCAGTGGAGGTGCAATTTGGCAGAGCTGTGGCACTGCTTTTTGGTGTACTCACCGGACCCCTTGACCTCGAGTTCAGTCTAGAAATTGTGCCTCCTCATTGGAGAAGGCAGGGCTGGGGCTGCCCTGGTAAAGCCTGGGGTGGCGGCCGTGGCGCAGGGTTAGTCTCTAGAGATGCCAGTTCAGAACCCCGGTCTTACCACCACCTCTGCCTCCAGAAACATCTCTCCATCCTTCCTACCACCTGGTCGGGGCCACCACCACCTGGACAGCAGCCCCCAGCTGGGCTCCCTCGGGACCCAGACAAGCACGGCCGTCCGGGGGATCTTCTTAAAATGCCGACGGGGCCTTACTGTCCTCCCAGACTGCTCAGGATGAAATCCACACCCAAACGCTGTTTGTGACCTGCTCCTGTCCTGCTCTTGATCTCCGCCCCCACCCCTCCCTCAGCTGACCTTGCCCATGACCTACCAAGTCACCGTCCAAAAGAACTTACTATGATGACGGAAATCTGAGCTGTCCTACGTGGTGGCCACTAGCTACCTGCTGCTATCGAGCGCTTGGAAGGTGGCTAGCGTGACTCAGCAGCTGAATTTTAACTTCATCTAGTTTTAATTGACCTTAACGGCCCCATGTGGCTCCTGGTTACTACACTGAGCCTCCCAGTGCTAGTTTTTTTGCTTCTTTCTCCCGGGCTCCCAAACTGTTCCCGCCTCAGGGCCTTTGCACTTGCCACTCATTCCCTGTACCCTTTTCTTCCCTCTTCCTGGCTAACTTCTGCTCATGCTTTACTTAGTTTAAATATCTCTTCCTCCAGGAAGTCTCCCCTCAACCCTAATTGAAAGGCAACCTGTTGTCCTTCCCACACACACAGCACCTTGTCCTTTACCTTCGTGGTATCATCATCCTTAGCCATTACACATTTATTACGGGGATTATTTGCTTAATGTCTCTCTCCCTCCCTTGCTTTATGAGGGAAACACCAGAGTGGTGTTCATCACTGCGGCCATGGCACGGAGCAGGTGCCTGGGCCTGGCGCATGGTAGGTGTTCGAAAAATGTTTGTGGAATGAATGAATGAGTGAGTGAATGAATCAATGAAAACGGAAGAAAAAGGACTGGATGAGAGGAGGAAAGAGTTAAGACACACCTGAGTTATCTGTCACCTTCCTAACCTTGTCCCCTTTAACCTCTAAGCTTTAGTTCCTATGGGGTACGAGGTCTTACAGGGTTTTGGGGAAGATTACCTGAAAGAAGGTTAGTAAGGATTCTAGCATGGGGCCTGGCTCGTGGTAGGTGCTCAGGAAACGCTAGAGGCCATTATTATTATTATTGTTACTATTATTATTATTATAGCAAGGAGTCTCATGGGGCCTGGTTCTATACTCAGGTAACCACTTCGTCTACAGACCTTCCGGGTCACGCTATCTCTTCCTAGCCGTGAGGGAGGCAGGCGGGCAGAAGGACCCATTCATAGGTGGAGACACCCACTGAGAACAGTTTGGGCAGGTCAGACTCACTGCTGCTTAGGAGGACGGCAAACGCCTGCCTGGGCTCAAGCCTTTAGACAGTAATGCAACCCCCGCCCTCCCGCCGGGCCTCAGTGGGTTTGTTTCTTCGGGGGGCTTTGCCTGAACTGGGCTGGGTGGACACAGCAGGGTTCGTACCCCGCAGACTGCTGTGGATGGAGGGGAGGGGATGAAGGCAGAGCCGGGAAGCTCGGTGGGAGCACTGTTCACGGGCAGGAAAGGCCCTGCCCCGCAGCTGCAGTGTGCGGGGACCCTCATGGGAGGCAGAGCCGCTCCTGGGGCGCCGCTGGGGTCTAGGGGGCACACGGGCCTCTGCGAGCCTGCCCTGTGTGCTTTATGGACGCAGCGATTCCTGTGCTGAAATCCTGGGTGAAAAAACCTTCATTAACCAAATAACCTGAACCCTCAGTTGATTGCTGGGACTTTCAGGACCAAAAAAATAAGTCCTAAGAAACCATCCATCTAAAAATAAAAATTAAAAAAAAAAAGAAACCAGCCATCTGTGTCTGCCCCTCAGAGGCCTCAGGAGTCCCACATGCCCTGTCCTCCCTCTGCAGATGAAGGGGTGAAGCCCATGGAGGGCGGGGGCCTGCCCAGGACCTGTGTCTCCTGCTGGTCCCCAGGCCAGGCCATCGTGTGGTACTCAGTAATGAAAAGCAACAATCATCATCATCTTTAAAAAAAAAAAAAGAAAAAGAAAGAAAGCTCTAAAGTTCCATTTCCTAAACCTTCTCTGCCAAAGTAAGACGGCGTTAACTCTCAAAATCAGCAGGGTCGCCAGAGCTCCTCCATCACCTTATAATTAAAAGGTTGGTGAGCTCGGATCTTCGGAGACACTTCTCAGCGGCAGGGCCCGGGGGTTAGTAATCACCACTACTGTTGCTCACGCGTGGCAGCGTTTGGCGCATCCACGTCGCCAGCTTCAGGTGCGCAGTTTCTCCAACACGCCGCAACCGGCGAGGGTGGCTCCATTTTACGGATGGGGAAACTGAGTCTGGGCGGAGGACGAGGAAGCCACAGACCCAAGCCCCACGCTCTCTGCCCACCCATTTCTCCCTGCTGCCTCCTCCTGGTCCGTGACCGCCCTGGGTCATCAACTTGTCAGTCGTGGTCAAAACAGAACCATCAAGCCCGTGCGCCCACCGGCAGCCCTGGCGCACCTTGGGCCGCTCACACCTGGTTACTTACAGTCTTTGATGGCAGCCTTGGTCTCCTCGGTGTCGGTGAAGAAGGAGTAACCTGGGAAGGAAAAATGAGTCCACAAACCGCACCACGCGATCCTGGTTTCCCTGGCCGGAGGAGGGGTTGCCGGGGAGAAGGGGGCAACCGTCCCCTCTGCGGGGAAGTTTAATTCAGAAAGAAGTTTGCATGGGGCACCTGGGTGGCTCAGTGGTTTGAGTGTCTGTCTTCAGCTCAGGTCGTGATCCCGGGGTCCTGGGATCGAGTCCCGCATCAGGCTCCCTGCGTGGAGCCTGCTTCTCCCTCTGCCTGTGTCTCTGCCTCTCTCTCTCTGTGTCTCTCATGAATAAATAAATAAAATATTTATTAAAAAAAAGAAGAACCTTGGAGGCAACCTGACTTACTGGGCCACCTGAAGCCACGTTTGAGAGATGACCATCTCCTGGTTTTTAAAGGCCTCCCGGAGAGGGCCCCGGGGCCAGGCATCCCAGCAGCCTCAAGGACTTTCCAAGTGGGCCTGGGCCCTGAGCTGGGCCGCGTCACTGACCCCAGTGTGACCTTGCCAGTCGCTCAGTCTCTGGGCTCCTGTTCCTCACTGGCGACAGGTGACAAAAGTACCACCGAGCGAGTTCCCCATGGGCTCTCAGGGTCTGCGATCTGCGATGGGGCCTCTCATCCTTTGGGGACCGGAATGCCTATGACCCGCTGATCAAAGGGGGAGATGCACGTAGGAGGCCAAGAGGAATGCAGGGCCTGCTGAGAGGCCATAATAAGGGTTTGGGAGACTGTGTCGGGGCCTCGGTTTGCTCCTTTGAAGAATGGGGTAGGCTGGGGGTGAACTGAGAGTCTCTGATCAAGTTCCCAGGTAGCAGCACAGGCCAAGGGATACCTGTTTGCAGGCTCGGTGTCCGGTGTGGGGACTAATTTCCAGTGACTGAGGAGCCTGGAAAAGGGCACATCTGTGACAGCTCACGCCCACTGATCGGTCCTGGTCTGCTTGGCGCGCTCTGCCCAGAAGGCCACCCGAGAACGGAAAGGAGGACTGGCCCGCGAGGGACCCACACCCCCCCGACTGTGGAAGCCAACCACGGCCCCTGCCCTCCGCCTGGCCTCCCCTTCCCCTTCCAGCGACCAGTGTCCCTGCATTCCTGGGCTCCTTGGATCCCTCTGAAATACCTTCTGGGCCAGATGGCTCACTGGGCCCTACCCTGCCCCATACCTGTCCCCGCTGCCCAGACTTACTGTCCTGTGTCCTGTCCTGCCAGAGTCCTGATCAATCCTAGGCAGTCCTAGAAGGCCTGCACTAGGCAGTGGCTGGAGCTCCAGATAGTTCCCTGTACAAATGCAGCCGCTTTGGAGAACGAAACCTAGTGCTAAGAATAATGAGTCTGCGGTAACAGGTGCAAACAGTGTGTCCTGGGCACGTTGGGACACGGTAAACTCTGGTCACAGTACGTGTGTTTCGATACACAACATGCAGTGAACATCCCCGCTTGAGGACCACTTCAGGGGGGATTGCAGCGTGGGCGGTTTTACTGCTCAACACGGTAACGAGCCAGAAACCGGACCCCTGGAGTTGGCTTTGTGACCCCAGGGGTCCCTCAGGATAGCAAGCATGTTTGGGGGCAGCCCCGGTGGCCCAGCGGTTTAGCGCCACCTTCGGCCCAGGGCCTGATCCTGGAGTCCCGGGATCGAGTCCCATGTCGGGCTCCCTGCGTGGGGCCTGCTTCTCCCTCTGCCTGTGTCTCTGCCTCTCTCTCTCTCTCTCAAATAAATAAATAAATTCTAAAAAAAAAAAAAAAAACCCAAGCGTGTTTGGCATGTTTTGCACAGACCCTGAGGGAATGGAATAGGGCCAGGAACAGGGCTTGGGGAGGTGCCGGGTGCCAGGGAGGGGAGGCACCCACGCGAGGGACCCCAGCACAACTTGGCGGATGCGATGTTTGGAGAAGGCTCGCCACGCCAGGCTGCATCCTCTTCCAGGACGGACGACCTCCCTCTCCGAGCCCCCGGGGTCCTGAGGCGAAGCGGCTGCCTCAGAGGGTCTGGGAGCCGGAGCTCCTCCCTGAGCCGCCCTGCTGCCCTCGGACTGTCCCCTGTTCAGGGAGGGCCGCTGCTCCCAGCACGGCGCTGTCCCTGGTTGTCACGAGGCCAAGACTGTCGAACAACAGACGGCAGGCCTGTTTGTCCCTCCCTTGTCCCTGGTGGGACGTGGCCCCCAGGGCAGAAGCTGAGAAAGGCCCCAGGACCAGCCTCCATGGCTTTCCCGCCCTCAGGACTATGAGGGGGAAGAACAACGAATCTTAGGGCTGGAATGTCCTCTGCCCCAAGCAGAAATCCCTGCCACGGCATCCCCATCCGTCAGGGACCTAGTCGACTGCTTGATTATCTCCAGGGATGGGGAGCTTCCTACCTTTAGTACCTTCTGAACCAGTCTTCCCACCCCCACCCCCCAAAAAACAGTGCTAACTTTTGGAAAAGTCTTTCTTCAAATTGAACTGAGACGTGTTTCCTTTATTTTTAAAAAACGTCTCCCCCCTGGGTTATATTCATAATGACAAAAACAGCTGCCATTTACGGCATTTGGATCTTTGTGTGCTGCTCCAGGTCATGTTTCCTGGAATCCTGTCACCCACCAAGGTGCGCGCTGTTATCCCAATGTACGGACGAGGCGGTGGAGGTTGGGAGAGGGCAAGCCCTTTGCCAGAGGACCTGAGGCTCCGGAGTGTTGGAGTCCAGGTAGGAGCACAGGGCTGGCTGAACTCAAAGCCCTTGCTTTGTGTGGACTCTCCACCAATCAGCCCTGTGTGCCGTGTGACCTTTATCTGGTCTCAGAATTGAATTATATGGTCTCAAAAACCAAAAAACAAAACAAAACAAAAAAAAATCCCAAAAAAACCCAAAAAACAAAAACCAAAAAAAAAACCCCCAGAAAACCAAAAAACCCTTCCTGCTCTGAGAACACCTGTTCCTCAGCACTGGGGCTCCGGCAGGTTGAGACCTTACATAATGCCACTGGCACCACCTTCCGGCCGCTTGCTCCTGGGCCGTCAGGAAAGCGCTAATGCTCCTTAATCAGACTCTTCTGGAAACGGGAAGACAAATGGTCTAGTTAATTTTCTTCTCCTTCTGCTTAATGAAAAGTCAAGCAGAAACCCCTTTTTTCCATGTCTCCTGCTGGCAGGTCTTAATTACCATCACACATTCCTTTGCTGCATCTGCCTGGTTCCTGAAGATCTTTTTAGGTTTTCTCTCCTGGTGTTAAAAAAGTACTCAGCTGGCTTCCTTGCAACTCGCTCCCTTTGGCCTCCAAGCTCTAATTCTAGCAAAGGAGAACTTCCAGGGATTGTAGAGATTTGGGAGAAGGGGATCTCGGTTAATAGAGAGTCCCAGTGCCTGAGGTGGGTTGGTTGGTTTGTTGCTGCGTGAGTCACATGGCGGGGAAGGACCTGGCGGGCTCATCGGTCCCAACCCTGGGGCCCCCCCGCGGAGGCCCGGCCCCCGGACACTGACCTTGCGAGCGGATGTTCTGGAGGATGAAGTAGAGGTACTCCCCGCAGATGCCGGCCGCCTCGACGAACTCCTCCTGCGTCATGCTGCACAGCTGCAGGCCGCTGACGTTGAAGTGGCAGAAAGAGATGCAGTTGGCATCCAGCTTGTACTGGTCGCAGCAGAACTGGAGCCATTCCCAGACGTGGCGTTTGGTCCAGTACTCGGGGTGGACGGACGTCCAGTAGGAGTCACAGGCTGCGTCCAAAGAGAGAGAAGTGAGGGCCCCCGGAAGGCCTCCAGAGGCGCCCCAGAGGGAGGCCCCGGTTCTATCAGCATCCACATCCCTCGCCTGTGAGTCATAAGGGCCTCTGGCTTTGGGGTGTGTTCTCTGGGGGCCCAGGTTACCTATTCCACCATAAAACCCACAGGAGACTGGATTTTCTAGGTGGGCCTCGGGGCAGGCGAGAGGAGGAATGGCGAGGAACCCCGCCATGGCTCGGGGATGCCCGGGGCCTAGGTTTGGTGCTTGGAAAGCGGGAGATTAGAGGAGAAAGGGAAGGATGCAGCCCTGCAGGGGTTTGGTTTCAGACAACAAGGTATCAAGAACACAGCCTTTGGAGCCTGCCAAGCCTGGGCTCAAACCCGAGTTTGCCTGCTTTTGACCTGGGCGGGGTCCACAGACAGTTAAGCCTCAGTTTCCTCATCTGTAAAATAGGTATTTTTATAGGGCTGTCATGCAGTTTGGAGTTAATGGGTATAGGCTGTGGAGTGCCCCGAGTACTATCAACCAATTCAATAGTTACTAAATGCCTGTTATAGGGCCCCTGGCAGGGCTTAAGGGTTGAGCATCTGCCTTTGGCCCAGGTCGTGATCCTGGGGTCCTGGGATCGAGTTCTGCATCGGGCTCCCCGCATGGAGCCTGCTTCTTCCTCTGCCTGTGTCTCTGCCTCTCTCTGTGTGTCTCTTATGAATAAATAAATAAAATCTTTAAAAAAAATGCCTATTGTGTGCCAGGCACAGTCTGAGGCTGACTTGACTCCCTCTGCTCTCACGGACAGTTGCCAACACCAGCTACTGGTCGGTGCGCTGCCTCTCGTCATCCTGTGCCGAGGGCCTCAAACTGGTGAGACGTTGCCCAGAGGCCAGCAGAGCTTGGATCGCCACAGCGGCCTCCTCTGAGGAAGAGAGCAGTGGGACGGCGGGGGGGGGGGGGGGGGGTTGGTTGGTTGTGCTGTTGCTGTTGTGGTTGTGTGGATGCTTTGAGGGATTTCCATCCTGAGGCCCGAGCCCCTTCACGCCTTCAGAGGAGCCCCACACAAACCCAGACAGAGGTGTGGGCACCACCTTGTCTGGGAGGCTGGGAAGTGGCCAAGCCCAGCTTGGAACAGAGACTGGGTGCTCCACAGCTCTGTCCCCAGGGCCAGGAGAAACAGAAAGGGTGGCAGATGAAGGGTTCGGTGAGGTACTCGGTCAGGCTCTTTGACACAAGCCTCATGGCTGCCATGGTGTTCACTCATTCACTCATTCATTCATTCATTCAATAAATGAGCCTCAGTTTCCTCATTGGCAAAATGGAGATAACGATAGCACCTCTGTCACAGAGTCGTTCTGTGGGTTGAGCGAGCTACTACCTACAAAAGTACTTAGAACCTGGAAGATTCTGACGCTATTATTAAGGTTCTCACTGAACACCTGTTAGGTGTGAAGCAACAAAGTGTGTGCTAAGGATCCCTGGTAAGAGGTTTGGTCCTTGTCCCCTAGAAGGTAACGGATTATGAACCTAAGGGGCACAGGGGACTTGCCCCAAGTCCCACGGCCAGCGTGTGGCAGAGCTGGCATCTAAGCCCTAGTCAGAGCTTGAGAGCCATCGCTCTTCTCGTTCCGTCCTACTGATCCTCAGAGCATCAGCACAGAGAAGAGCAGAAACACGGAGAGAGGCAGAGGCAGGCGGAGAGCGAGACGGAGTGAAAAGGCCTGAGGAGGACGGCAGAGAGTGGAGCGTGGCTCGGGCCGCGTGGACGACAGAAGGGGCCACATGTGAGTTAGACTCCGCAGCACACGTCACCGAGGCTGTTCTGATTCCCCGTGAGAGTCGCACCTGGTGCCACTGTCCCCAGTGAATCTGTGGGACTTCGGGTCTTAGGCAGGAGACACGTCCTCCGCCCTGTCAGGGGTATGGCTCCCTTGGGAGCTCCTCAGGCAGGCACTTCCCGTGTGTCAGCTTCTCGGGTTCCTCAAATCCTCCCAGATAGGCATGACTTCACAGAGGCGGACACGGAGGCTCCCCCTAAAACCCAGAGCCCTTCCAGGAATCTTGCCCCACCATGGAGAGGATTGAGGGGTGATCAATGTAAACAATGGATTTGTTTGAATTTATTTTAAATTTGTAGTCAGAATTTTATATGCATGTGGATAGAGGGTCGATACTCGGCCAGGATGGTTGAGGTCAATGTCGTCGCCTCTACCTGGTGCGTGAGAACAAGGGGCCTGCCTCTCTTTTCACTTGCTGGTCGCTGGCCCACTAGCCCGTGGGGGACCCCGTTGTGGCCAATAGGGTCTCCTGGGAAAATAGGACGGCCAGTCTCCCGTCTGGTCTGGGCTCTCCTCTATTGATTTCTGGCTTGAGTAAACCTAGGGGGCCTTTGACATTCCTGGTGTTCTGATGAGCGATGTTTATGAGCCTTGAAATTCTTCCGCCCTTGGTCCTGAGCTGAGCCCCCAACAGAGATGGCTATCGGTGCGCGGCAGTTGGACGACATAGTTTATTTCTTTTCATGGAAAGGTTTCGCCAAGTCTCCATTCCCTCCTCTCTCCACTTCCACCCCCTTGTTATTTTCTTTGGCACGTGAAGAGGGCCGTGTTGTTTCTGGAAGCCAAAGGGCCTAGAGGATTCGGAGAAACGCCCGGGTGGGGGTGGGCACTGACATGAGGAGGTGTTGCTGGCAGGCTCCCTTCCCCTCAGCTCTTTCCTTTGAAGCTCACCCACAGAGCAGGCTTTGTGTGCGGCTCCCTCTGGAGGGAAGCCAGAGCCAGAGCCAAGCATGGCGGGCTCTCCTCACCAGGAAAGGCCTTCCCACAGCCCTGGGAGCTGAGAGGAGTATGGCTATTCTCGTGACATGGAGCCAAAGAGGGCCAGCATCATGGGGTGCTTTCTGGTTGCGGGTGTGTTTCTATGGTCCTATCCTCACTAGAAGGGCGCAGAGGTGAGGCTGACAGAGGTGAGGGAGGCCGGCTTCATCTGGCCCCTCCTCTTCCCTCCCCTGTTGCTCCCTCAGGATTGCTCCTGGCCCAGAACGAAGTCTCCATCTACCTTCTCCTAACTCATTCCCACTCATCCTTAAGACCACAGCTCACTCCTCCATCTCAGGGAGACTTCCCTGCACAGCCCCCTCAGGTGTCCTTCTCAGAACGACTCACGCCTCACCCTCCTCCCCAAACCTTGAACTCCACATGGCTGGCCAGCTCGGCTTTGCTCACCCTGAGTGGTGGGCCTGGCCTAGCCCTCTGTGGGTGCTCAGTGAGTATAACCGACTGGCCAAATGACCAAGGCTTATTATCCTCTCTTTATAGGTGAAGAAAAGGAGGTTCTGGGAGATTACATGACTCTACTAAGGCCACATGGCTGGTCAGTAAGGGAGTTAGATCCACATCAACTCTTCCATCTTTAAATGTGAGAATTTTGTGTCACATCATGCCTTACTGTTCTTGGTTGAGGAGGACCATGTTGGACACACCTCTCCAATATTGACTGAAAAAGATTTGGGTGGAGGCATATACACACAGACTCACAGATATATATATTTTCTAACCTAAATTTATAGATATTAAATTAATTAATATTCATATTAATATAATTTGTTTTATATTAATAAAATATAATAATATTATTAATTAATTAATGATTAACATATTAAATTAATATAATTATATATAATATATATTAGATATTAGGTCAGAATTTAGGTTAGAAAAATTTTAAAAATCAGAAAAAGGATGAGAAACCAATGATGACATTTGTAACCTCTATGAATGACATGATGGAGGCCTTGCTACTTGGAAGACGTGAACTCAGGGCAAATAAAAGAAAGGGTAATGCACCCACAGAACATGTTATCTTTAGCATGTTGATTGTATTGCTTGGAAATACTAAATGTTTTTCCCAGTGCATCTAGCATTTGTGAAATAATCAAAACTCTTGGGAGAAGCTGAGCATTAAGGCCCTTCTGCCTATGTATCTGGGTTGGGGGACAAACCCCATGCCCTGCCGGGTAGGCTGCATCTAAATGTTAACAGGCCACTATTAAGCAACAGTCTCAGCCAGCTCCTTTGAAGTTGAAAGTAGGTCGGGACATTTGTTGAAGGGCCAGCTACAGTGGGAAGAAGAATTGATCAGCTATTCTGGGGGGATTTCCCACAAGTGATGCTATAATGGGACGTGTTTCAAGTCAGAGGGAGGACTTAAGCTTGTAGAGCTGGGCTGGCACACTCAGATGCCCCTAAGGTCAGCAGGGAGTGTCCATGGAAGGTGCTCAGAACACAGGCAGGCATGTAGCAAGTGCTCATTAAATACCATCCATTTATATGTATTAATATTGGGGTTACCATACAACTACTTTCCATTTTCTCAAATACTTCTGATATGTTGTGCGTGTATGTGTGTGTGCATGCGTGGTATTCCTTTCCAGAGATTTGGGTTATTTTCTTTTTGAAAACTGAGGAAGTTATATTATAAACCAAGCTACCTTGTCCTTGATGTGCCCGCATCAGTTAGGTGGTCCATGCTGTTCAAAATGTGGGGACCCTGGCGAGTCTGTGTGATTTTATAAAATGCTTGATGTTCAGGACACACACAAGACCCATGCTTCTGACACTGGGGTGGAGGGACAGGGGCTAAATCCCCCCCACCAGAGTGAACAGAAGGTACCAAGGGTAACTGAACCCACGTGATTAATGCCTGTGCATCTCCGGTGGAAATGCCAGCGGGTGGGTCCATTAATCCATGACTTCCATTCTTCATCACAGACATCTGCTGTCTTCTCAATCTCATGCAAAGAGCTCTTAAAAAAAATTCTAGGTGAGTCCCTTTGCTATTCATTTCAAATGCATTGCTGCCCCTAAGCCCTTCTTACATGGAAATTCTGGAGTCAAGACTGTTCAAAGCAAAGATTTGAGGGGGGGATATTTTGACTTTTCTAATCGAGACAAAATAGACATGCAGCAGAATGCAAAATCTGGAGACTGTGAAAGTGTGAGAT